TTAACTTTAAACTAAGTTAAGTTACTTTTTTTTTGAAAGTTAACCTTTAATAAGTTAACGAAAAAAAAAATGAGTAACTTTTCACTTAACTTAATTATTTTAAAATAACTTAACTTAAAGAGTTAAAAAAAAATGTTAACTTGCCCAGTCTTGATTCGTATATTTTTCTTGTAATTTATGTAGGTACATTATTAACTCTTTGAGGGGCCGTGGTTAGTATGCAACCACTTTTTTTTTTACCGTTCAGGTGCGGTGGTTACTATTTTAACCACTTTTAAAATTATTTTTAATATTTGTTTGATGATGGTCAGCATACCAATCACCTTATTATCATCTTATACATGCATCAAACAATATCACTGCCGCTGGTCTGATATCATTTCTCGCGTTTTTCATCATTTATTATCATTATCAATATTTTGATATATGTACTAAATGTTATGGTAAAGAGACATATTGCCCACATGGGTCTTTTTTCTAAAGAAAATTTTTGCCCCTCAAAGAGTTAAGGTACTTACCTTGATAAGTACTGAATTCTTTTGTTTGCAAAGTTTACTTACAAAGTATTTAATCAATTAAATTTAGTACCTATAATTCTTTTTCACGATGTGTTATATGGCTTAATAACAATTAAAAATAAACATAACCATAGTATTGACTTCACTGCTGAAAATACCTTTTTTGAGTGTTTTAACGATAATATGGGTATAACTGAAACAATTAAGTGTCATAAGAGTATTTTAGAACAAAAGAAAATTTTTGACTGGATATCTTAACTAATTGAACTATTAATCTAACTTATAGAACCATTCAAAATTGGCACGATAAATGGAGGTTGGAAAATTTAGGACCACGGTCTGAAAATGGTTTGATTGAGATAAATCTTTATTATTTTATATAAATTTCATTAATATTTAAAATTTTACGAAAGTAGTTAAAGATTTTATAGATAATTTATTATAAGTTATAACTTATAACGATTTTGAATTTATCGATGCTCCATCTTCAGAGTATATCTGAGTGCTGTGAATATATAAAATACATATTTTACTTTTCTCCAGTATACAAAAAAATATATATAATATATTCAGCATATTATAATACTGGATTTCAATTACTAATAGAATGTGGCATAAATTACTTTACTGTTGTTGGTTGGCCAAAAATCTTTGTAACTGTTAAATAGGTATCTTGGGAGTATGTATAACCGGTTTTGATTTTTGGTGCAACTCGGAACAAAAAATACTTTTCCATCTTATGTTTAAAATATTATTTTCTATACACCATAAAGATTTCAAAATATTTTGAACCTCTTTGAGCAAGTTACAGGCATTTTTAAAATTTTCGATTTTTATTCGTATTTTAAACTAGTATTCTTTTCCAAAAATACCAATTGATATAATGAAGCGATAAGAATTCTAAAAACTGATTTGAATTTGTCGTCTAGTGTTGAAATTGACTTTCCCACAATTTTGATTTCTCTAAAAATTGAAATACCACAATTTTTTGATTTATTTTTTAACATAATGTTTTTTGGAATTTGGGGGATAAAATCAAAAATATTGTAAAGTTGATTCCAAGAAGACTTGACGACAAATTGAAATCTGTTTTCAGAGTTCTTATTGCTTCATTATATCAATAGATAGGTTTGGCAAAGAACGCGTCTAAAATCCTAGTCATGCCTGTGTTAGACAAAGAGAGAAATAAAATCCCCTTAAAAATGTTTCATTATTATAGCCTAGGATTATTTAGACATTATTCATTTCAAATAAACTTTAGAGATATAAATATTAAAATTTAGATGAGCTGAGTAGTGGACATACATTTTGCGGGGTAACCCCGTACCACTCAACTCGGCTCATCTAAACTTTAAATACTTACAAGTTACAACTTACAACGCATAGACTACTAGCACTAAATTAGATTTTTATGTATCGAAATACTTAAAAAAATATTATACTTTGGCATATGAAATCCAAACTCCATGTTGTCAAAAAAATTAGAAGGATAAAAAATATTTTAAAATATAATTTTTTAATAACAAAGTTGTTTTGTAAACGACTCAAAACTATGTAAAAAAATATTTTCAAAAACATTCACACTTTTTGAAATAATGAGTGTTTAATTTTAAATAAATCGCCCTGTTTAGTCTCTCGGGTAAACACAAACGTTTAAAATCTAAAAAGGCTATATACCTACTTTTAGTCATGTCTTCATTAGGTACCGACCAACCCACGTATAAAAAAGCTCAGGTAGGGCTAAAGCCCAATCAGCCCTACCCGTGCGCACGCCTATGAGACTAATCAAATCAATCGAAAAGATCGGTCAAATAGCGATTTTCGATCAAAAAAGTCTATTCGATTGCTGGTTTTCAATCGAGTGTTTTCTCATAAGGTCGCCTTGCAGAATCCTTGTTTATCATAAATAGATTAATGTACTCTCCGATTAGTGACATAATAAAGTATGGTAAATTACATCATTTTCTTGCATATAATATTATGTAGACAGTTGTTTAAAACCTTAATCTTAAAAATCGCACTATTAATTATAATTCATTGTTATGTGATTTTAAATTAACAACTATACATTTTTCCAAATAGGTAGGTAGGTACTGCATAAAATTACCTATGTACTACATAAAATGTTACTTAGGTACTAATGATTTAATTGTTTTCAGATTATTTATTAAATTACATGTTCGTAGGTACCTAGGCTTATTAAAATGTATAATATTGATAGGAATGTTGTAAATTAAATATTGTTCTTTTACATAAAGCGTCCTATATTAAAAGTAAGCAATGGATACCTAATTTAGATTTGTTAATAAATAATTCATACATGTTATTATTATCAATATTATTTATTCTAAACCTGGAACTTAGAAATATTGACTACAGATTTTAGCTTTAAATAAACCATAAAGAAGTGCTTCTAAAACTATATTACGTGAATAGTTTAAAATTTAAAATGTTTCATTTTTAAGTTAAAATCGTTCAAATTATTCGTGGTAAATAAATGATTGGTCCTGCAGTATATTTGGAAAGGTTTTGTAAATGTTGGTCCTCAGTTCCTCGCAATACTGTGTGAGTGTGCTTGATTTTTCGTAAAAAAAATACTAATTCTGGTCATCTTTCTGAGATGGGTGTATTTTTTTAATTTTCCCCGGGTGTTAAAAAGCTATGATCCGGCGCTGTACAGGCTATCTACAAAATTGAAAATACCTATATTAGGTAATACTATATGTCTATTGTGTATACATCAAACTCAATCGGTAATAATTATTATATACGTCATTTTCCCATTTATTTTATATGATATCTAATAATATTCTCAAGCCAACAAAATTATAAGTTAATGGGTCAAATTTAAAATGTAACTTAATTTTAAGAAAATTAAAATTAACTTGAAGTTAACACGTTAAATATGTTAAAAATTTAACTTATCAAGTTAAAATTAAGTTTCCAAAAAAAATTTGACTTTTTTAGCCCCTCTCTACTTGTGACTTTGGTATTAGACTAATCAAATCAATCGAAAAGATCGGTCGAATAGCTGTTTTCGATCAAAAAAGTCTATTCGATTGCTGGTTTTCAATCGAGTGTATTCTCAGACAGTGATCGAATATTGTAAATTGTAAATATATTATTTTCAATTACCGATTCACTTATTACTAAAAACAGTACCTAGTTATTCCATGAAATAAGACATTTTATCGGCTTTATTTTGATATTACAAGTTTTCACTTATTAGTTTATTGCCAGTAGCTAGTTTTAAATTTTTAATAGTATTAATAGTGACCTACTACATTCAACAACGAGTACATTAATAATTAGTAATTACGAATCCTCAAAAAAAGTTTAAGGGGAAATCAGTTACATTATTGAGCAAAAACAAGCCTTAGTATTATTTATACAAGAGCTACTAAATATTTTACTTATAAACATTGTAAGGACTTATGGACACAAATAGGCAGTGTGCCACGTTTAGACATTTTTCGCCCCAGTGCAAAAATAAGGGTTACTAAAAAAATTCTCCTCTACAAATTGTATACTTAATAGGTATTTTTACTGTAAACCGCTTCAATAAGCCGTATTACTTCATACTTGAATAAATTACGAAACCATGTTTTTATGCCATATTTTGTTCACTAATGCGTCCTCTTAAGGAACTATCATTAGGCGTATTAAACCGCCGATAGCTATATAGGTATAGTGCTATAAATACATTAGTTGCTTTAATTTCAAACAGCATAATTCATTAGTATTATATTATATTATCTCTGTTATTGAAATAATTGAAATTTTTAAAAATTCACAAGGAAACAAAATGCTGACCACAAAATACTGGCACCCGGGACGGTTGTAGCCAATGCCCCCCCCCCCCTAAAAGTGGACGTGCAAATAGGCAATAAGCTAAATTCTATAGTTAGTGCTACAAAAGAACCATCAAAGTAGAAAAAAGTAAATAAATACTCGTTACCTACCTATTATTTTATAGTTGATCCCTACCTAATTAGTTTTATTTAAAATTTTAGTGAGAACTGTTATTGAAAATATAATTAATATCATATAATATTATACAAATTAATGATACTGCATCAATAGCTAATGGGTTAGGTTGGGCTAACGGGTAGATTTTAAATTTTGCACTTATCCGCTTTCGACCAAATTTTGATTGAAAACCGTTTTTGAAATCAATCGAATGGATAGATGTGACTTTTAATAATTCACATAGGTTATGCAGTTACGCATCAAGTATCAAGTGGAAATGAGTCGAGGATATTATAGATACTATACGCCAGGGGTGGCCAAACCGCGGCTCGCGTCATAGACTTTTGCGACTAGCATCTTATCGTAACATTTAAAAAAAAAAAAATGTTAATATGAATTTATGTATTTGAAAAAGTATAATATTTTATTAAATTAAATTAAATTATTAAATTACAGTGTATAGAAAAAAATTTGTAAAAATAAAGTATTCTTGATATCATTTTTCTTAATTGACTATTTTCTTATTTGTTGCGTGTTTATTTTGCTTGTAAGATTTTTAAAATCAGGACTGTATGTTGTTAACGCAGTCCTTAACAATTCAGTTAAATGATCATCCGTTAATGTTGATCGATGTTTAGATTTAATCATTTTCATGGTTGAGTATAAAGACTCGCAAGAATATGTTGTTCCAAAAATCGATATTAACTTTTGAGCGCAAAGAGTAATTTTTGGATATTTAATAACAGGCACATGTTTCCAAAATTCCAACAAAGAATGACAACTGTATTTGAACTGCTTCAGTCCTTCATCTTCCAATAATTCCAAGAGTTCAATTTCTAAAGCTGCCGTATCCATTGAAATCGATTTTAATATTGGACATCCATTTTCAATAACGTTAATTACAAAGGGATTTTCTAGAAATGCACATTCACATTTTATTAAATACCATACCTTAACTTATCTTATTTACAATAATACAATATCTGATATATAAAAATTATATAATAATATGACCTTTTTTTTTTTTTACATTTTGGCTCTTCCATATTTATTAATATATTTGGTGGCTCGCAAGTCATTTCTCGCTGGCCACCCCTGCTATATGCCATAAAAATGGCAGGAATACGATTGAGAACGGTCATTATTGGCGATACCTTTTTTAGACCCTTTTGACTATTACGATTGAGAAAGCTCAACGTTGCCAAACTTTGCCATATAAAAATCGGCTATGGCTATAGCCTATATAAATATATAATATGACTCTTAGCACTGCTCACACACTGTCTATGTGGCAGGAATAAACGTCTTTAAAACTCAATATTATTCAACAGGGTACTGTTCAAAAGGCATCAAAAGCAGATGAAGAAAAAATTACAAAAACAATACAGTCTTATATTAACTACTGTCAAAAAAAATCTTCTGAAGGATTAATAAAATATTTAACACATCTGGGAAATTTATATAGGGGAATTAAATTGTAAATTATTTTTAAATGTTTGTATTGTTGGTACCTACCAATAATACAAATTTGTTTAAAAATTATGAAATTTTTAAAATTTATAATTTTTAATTATTTTATTCAATGTTTTATTTCATTTTAATTTTGACTCGAATATAGTTCGGCAACGTTGCACGCTTAATTTCGTTCTCAATAGTACTGTTTTAATGGGTCAGCGGTTATTTCATTGTTCCATTTCGAGTGATCTCAATCGTACGCTAAAAAATGGTCGAACGTTCTCAATCGTATTACAGCCATAATAATATGGTCTATAAAATATTTTATACCTACCCATACATTACACACTAAAATAAATACAAAGTACAACTGTACAACTGCAGTATACAAATAAGTATTTTGGTAAATTGTCCTCTTGTATTTTTTAGATTCTGAGTGGAACGATAAATGTATTGAGTTTACAATGATGTGGTTTTTTTTTTTTTTTTGGTGTCTGTCATCACGTTTTAGGACAGTAAAAGTGCTTGGATTTTCTTTAACAGTAGATTTTCTGATAGGAAAGTGAATCTAGTTGGTACTTTGGTGGGTTAAAAGTGAAAATTTAAATACAAGGCTCCTACTGTATTGTTACAATGGCATTTGAAAAATATTAAAAATCCTAAGTCACTATTTTTTTTATATATATTTGAGCTGTTTACGGACATTTACAGTTATCAATTTTTTTAGTTTTTTCTTCTATAAATATCAATAAAGTTTCATCTGTTGGGCCAAAAAGTGTAAAAAATGAATGCAAGGTTCCTGATATATTGTTATAATATCAGTTGAAAAATATTATAAATACATAGGCACAGTTTTTTTTATAAGCATTTAAAGATCAAATTTCGACAATATTTATCAAATTTAAAATTGAATAATTATTTTGTAGTTAAAAATTTCTAAAATGTTCAACTTTTATATCTAAGGATTGAAAATTTAAAACAAGATTCCACGTAAGTAATTGATTCTGTTACCAAAAAGTATAAAAAAATACACAAGCAAAGTTTATTTTTATAGTAATTTTAAGTTCAAATTAACCTAACCATAAAAAATCTAGAATAACTATTTTAGTTATTTTGTTGTGTGTGTATAATACTATTCGTGGGTACTTGAAACTTCTAAAGTGCACTATATTATATATCTATGATAGTATCAGGGTTTGTTATTGATGTATAACGTGTTATAAGTACCTAATGGATATTGTGATATTATTAATTTGGAATTTATTATAGGGTACCTATATTAGGTCAATTTTTTTTAATACCATAGATAAGTATATAATACGCCTTATACCTAGACTGACATACCGTCTCCCCTCAGAATCGTTTTTCTTATACAATGATATTGTATCATTGAATTCAAATTTAATACCATCCATTATACAGTGACCCACTTATAACCTACTGTACAACAGAGCGACATCCACTTACCCACCTTTTTTATAATTAATATATAATTTATCCCAGTTTAAACTATATAAGCTACACAAATAATTTATATTGTATGGTGATATTATAATAAAGTAGGTACATAATATGTATATATTTATATCCTATTAATATTATAAACTCGAAAGTCTGTGACTCTTTCACGTAAAAACTACTGAATTTTGATTTTAACGAAACTTTACAATAATATAGTGTATACATCAGAATAACACATGAGCTACAAATCATCCCCCTAGGTCCAACCAGAGGCTCAAACAGAAAATTAGAGATTTAAGGTGGACATTTTTGTTTATAAGTGGTTGCCTTGGGTTTTAAAATTATTATAATAATAATGATAGGTTGCCGTGAAATCAGTGTATTCATTCAATGCATTTAATTGTTTTGCACGCTGTGTTATGTATCACAATTACGTAAATATTGAGCGAATTATACTTACATATAAGTTACGTAAATGGTACATAAAACAATCGCTATATTATAATTAGTATCTATTTGTTTTTTGTACCTAATGCCTATAAGGTGTAATAGTAAATTAATGTAGGTAGGTATATATCATAAATATCTACAATTTTAAATTGTATTTATGATCAGAGCCCAACTTAGGGGGGCTAGGGGGGCTGCAGCCCCTGGCCCCTGTTGATATTAAATATTAAAGTTGCATTTTGAAATAATTGTATGATATTACTGGTTACGTAGTTTTGTTAGTCACGTATCGTAATGGAATTTCCGAATTTATTATTATTCTCTAATCGATAAAATAAGCTATTAAGTTTTAAGATAAAGTTGGTCAAAAGCACTTTATATCATTATGATTACAATTTATCTTAACATAGGTACATTTTGATGGTCAGTTTCGCATTATTAGTACAATCGGTACACTAGTCACTAGTATTCCGTCGACTGTCGTGATTAGTTTTTAGTCGAGTTCGTGAGTTTTGTTCGTTACTTGTGTGTGCCAAAAACTATTGAAATTTAAAAATGTCTGATAAAAAAAGGATTTATCTCAGTGGTTATGCAAAACGAAAATTAAAGAAGGAGTCCGAAGATGCAGTAATTAAGTTACCTAAATTAACTAATTTTCCAACTATCAACAGTGCAAACGGAGTAGAAACTAATAAAAATAATAAAAATGATTTAGTTCTAAATAATAGTTATATTCATGTTGAAAACATGAATAATGATAATCGGCTAATGATAGTAATAGTGTAATGCCTAATACAATAGTGACTTCAAAATATGATAGTTTAAATTTTTCTGAAAATAATATTAACAGTTGTTCTACAATAGAAAGCTCAAAATCTGATACTTTTAATTTTTCTGAAAATAATGTTGACAATGGTTCTACAATCTACAGCAGAAAATGCAGTGATTGCAATTAATTTTAATTCGAATGTTCATACTATTGAACTTGATATTGAATTATATCAAGATAATCAAGATTATTATGGTATAATTGATTTATAATCTTATAAAATCATGTGACATGATATAAAAACAAGGTACGATCGTAACTTTTTGACGGCCAGATCGCCCAGATCCTTTGGTAAGCACGTGAAGTAGTGTAGTACATATATACTGTATATAGTAATAATAATTTAATGATAATATGAAAATACGGGACACGGGTAAGCAAGTGGCGTTTGCGCGAACTTGGACCAAATCTGCACTTTTGCTATCATACCATGTTGTTAATATCATGGTTTATTAGTCAGGGATTTTGTTATATATGTAATATTAGTCAGGGATTTTGATTAGGTAATTAGAAATCAGTAAAATCCTTGTTATATTGTATTGATATTTTTTGGTAAGTACATTTTTGGGTACCTAATCAAAATCTCATCTTTGTTATGAATATGTATGTGTTATTTCCTTACCTCGTTCATCAGCTTTTGCATTTTTTTCCAGCTCATTCCAATCTAAATACATACAGCCTCCCGATGTCCATCCAACTTTTGAGCTTAAGGTGTTTGTCCGAGTATTCTCTGGAGCCCATTTCCCATATCGAGTTATTGTTGTGTATACATTGAATAAATGTATCTGTTTTATCAATGCCAAACATGATAATAATTGATAAATTTATTCAATAAAAAAATAATTAAAAAAATCACAAATTTTAAATTATATACAACTTTGAAAACCGCAGTCCGGTTAAACGCACCAATGTGACAAGTATGATATATTTATTTTTTTTATTTTACACAATATTCTATACAATCTGTAAAAATTATGCACAATTAGAATATTTGATAAGGGTTTAAAAAAATAATACATGAGTACGTGATTAAGAAGCCACCCATTAGTGGCACTTGACTGGAAGTTGTACGAAGCTAGCTATATTTACATAATATGTATAGTGTTTTTTTTTTTTTATTTGTTTTAATTTTTTAAATTAGTTCCCTAGTAAGTCACAGCACCAGCTCCTTTTTAAGCGACGCCTGGGGTTGCCAGGTAATGTTTGCGTGGATAGATTTTTAATGAGTGGGTTTTGGTGGGTTTGTAGCCTGGCATGAAGGATTCTATAGAAACGTGTAGCTTCTTCTGTTACGGTTTTAATTGACAGGTCATTATGTATAGTGTAATTCGAAACAAAGGGTGGAGCATTAGTAATTTTCCTAAGAGCAATATTCTGAAATCGCTGAATTTTGTTAATGTTGGACGCTTTTGCTGTGCCCCATAATTGGAGACCATATGTCCATAGAGGTTTGAGTAGGGTTTTGTATATAAGAACTTTAATTTTTAGACTGGAGTGTTTGTTGTTTGTGAGTACTGAGTAGCGTTTGTAGTCTGCGAAGACGGGCGTTTAATGCAAGTCTTTTTATACGGATATGGCTGTTCCAAGTGAGACGCTTATCGAAGTTTAGTCCTAGATATCTAACTGAGTCAGATGTGGGAATACAAGTATGATATAAAATAAT